AAGCGCAACACCCACTAAACTCTCCCCGCATGCAATTCAGAACAGTGCCCCCGAAGGCGGCTATTTAAGCCAAATCAGTTCATAAAAACGTCAGCAGTAGGCAACATGAATGGACATCTAGACAGAAGGTATGTCATAAAGATATTCCCGGCACTTGCTGCAAAGACACTGCTTGTAAATAATCCCGACATGAGCAAAGGAGAATTCAGCGAACTGACCAACCCTGCTGATGCTAGATTACAACGGACCGCACTTGTCCCACAAAAAACCAAAAGAAATTTGATTTCAGCCGTTTCGGACGTGGCATGGCCAGTCTGTCACCAACTGAAGCAACGCTAGGGTTGTGGGGGAAGAGAAATAGACTGGATTAACAACTTAAAGCAAATATACAATGCGTCCACGCACAGTCCTGCAGGTAAAGCTTGCAGCGCAATTGTTAGGATGGCCGAGCACGTGAGCCAGCACCCTTGTCGTCCGGACAAACAGACAGACATACTGAGGTCACGCTGGAGAAAGGCGCGCGAACAGAGGTGAGCGCACAGTCACAAAGAGCTGTGACCACGGGTAACAACGCCGCCGAATTATGCATGTCCTTGAGAGGTCAACCAGCATTCGATGGCTACCCAGCTGGACCAATAAGAAGGTACAAAACGGGCACGGGCCGATTGCCTTTAAATGCGAGAGCGGACACGGGAGGCTGGACTGGCTGCAGACGAGAACGCCGTGACGCAACCACAGACGACTTGCTGGCGAACACGGGACAAGTCGACTGACACGTGCAGAGTTGATGTTTACGCAGGAATTGTTATAGTAAACTATCCTCGGTTATCCTCTCTGTCTTCTAACCCACACATACAACTGGGGGACACAACAGCAATCTACGCACAAAATGAGCTAACCAATCAGTGTGTGATGCATCATCGAGCAAGCGTGATGCCTTTGCGCAAGTGTGCGGCACAACCAGTGGCCGCTCGAGCCTTCGAACATTTTTCCGTGATCATGCTATAGGTCAAGGAAGAGCCAATCCACGACCAGCACACCAGAATGCAGGCTGTGCAAGAATCGTCAGCGTTGGAGTAAATAAGGGACGTTCTCGTCCGCTTGAAACCCACTTGCACGAGCCGTCAAAACCAGAGGGTTGTAACCGGAGTTCATCAGAGGATAGTACTAATTAATCAGGATTGAACTCGGAGGTTCCAGTGCGTGTTGAGGCAAGTGTCTCCAATTCTTGCGGGCGGTAGCGTACTGAGACAGGAAAGCAGTAGCCGGGGTGCATTATAAACAAGAAGGAGGGAGACTGAAATCTCACTTAACAGTCTATATGCCAGCGGTACACAGCGAATACAATTTGACAAGGCGCGCAGGCGAAAAAAGAACATAGATTTAGATGGGTGATTTCGCCGTTTACTTGCAGAGATAAATGACGACTCAAAATGATCATAGTCGAAACGGTTTGTGCGAAACCTCTTAGAGGCAGGAGTGAAACCTCTCGACTGCACTAGCTAGTTTGTAGTGCAAAACAATTTGATTTTCCAAATTCAAACTGAAGCCGACACCTTTCTTTCCGTGCTTCATGACCGGCTACGCAGACAACAATAAACTTTCTTCGTAGAGCATCGTACAAATTATTAGTGAGCGGCAGATTTCGAAGTGAGTAGGTTCCTGTCGAATGAACTGACGGGTTAACACGAGTCTTGCAACAAGGAATCGAATAAGGCATTGCTTTTCTATCAGAGCGTCAATTAATAGTCACGCAATTAAGAGGGTGCGGTGTTGATCCTACCTTAATGGTTCGATTTGAAAGACGCTGATTTGACCGTTGCTGGACCTCTGCCAAGATGCGATAAACCAGACGACGAGAGACAGGTGTGGAGTTGAACCTTAGTAGAGTCGCCAATGAAGTACGAAGAAGTTGACACAGGTAATCCTCAGCTGACGAGGGACTGAACTCCGACTGTGAATTGGTTACGAAGGCGAAAATAAACTGTACCAGCCGAAGCATCAGAAGGAGACCTGCAGTCAAAATGCCCGAAGTCCTGTAAAAGCAAACACTCGGAATTAAGAAAGCTCACTTGCCGACATATAAACCTGTGCAATCAAGGCACAAGAAGCACCTACCCAGAAGTTGTCTGTCGGAGCAATGGTGACTTTAAGAGGGTCGATAGAACCTCCAGCTTCAGTGGCGCACCCACAGTGCTCGAAAAACCCCCAGTGTCGCTCGCCAGAGCCTGAAACAGGCTCGTTAGGAGGGTCAGAAAGCGCGGCAGAGAGGCCTCAATGCTCATTGGCTGGT